TAAAGCTACGAACACTCCATGAACTCGGCAACGGTGCGATGAGTCGTATACTTAATGTGTGCGAGGTTCGCTTTGCACGTTCGCTTTAAGCAGACAAAGGGGCAATAAGAAACGATTTTCCTGTGTCTCGAGATTTAAAAGTAAGACAGAATGGGTTAGAATGGCCAATTTTGGGAAAATATTAAATGAAATTTGTTTTATTTATTATTTACAAACCTATCCTAGTGATACATGCAATCGGAGATTATTTGTTAGGGCCCGAGTCACAATGGTAACAAAATTGTATCAAAAACAGATGCAATTCAATTTAAATTGAATACATTAACTACTCCCTCCTGAAACTTTGTTAAATTAAAAGTAAATATCGAGTTTTACAAAACTTTGCGTTTGCGTTTCGTAATTGCTTTACGTTTCTGATTAATTAAAGAACATTTGGTGATTGATTCAGAATTCAAACATTAGTTAAGAAATCAAAATATAAACTGCCCTACAGCTCTTATGTTTATCCGGGCCATCGGGTTAACCTAACTTTGAATCTTTATCGTATCTTAAATATTTTTTAAGATACGTACGATCAACTAATAATATTTAATTAAATTGAATAAAGAATATTTGGATATTCTAATCGTATAAACTACTATCTTTTTCATCTATGTGGGGCTACCAGTGGTGGTCCACCGGCTAAGGCCAACCTAACCACGTTAATTGTTCTTGTTGATGCCATGAAGCTTTGCTTTTCATACATTTTGTGTAAAGTGTTTTATGTAATGAAGTTATGGCCCATGAGTTAAAAGCAATATAGCTAGCATATTATTGTGGAACATGAAATTTTGAGTTGGGAAGCCCTATATGTAAAAGTATGTATATTAACAAGGAAACGTACAAATTACTTTTAAGTTCACTGATTTTTGATCGAAAACAATAATATTCAAGATAGGTCTGCAGACATTTAATTCAATTAGTATACGTTCGTACGTAGTTAAAATAATTATAATTATTTAAAAATTGTTCAAAAAAAGAAGCAATTTCTAGGGAAGGCTCTATTAAATTAGAAAATCAAGAAAAAGACCTGCTGTTGATTATATATTTGAATGAAAAGTTTATATAAAAATGTATGTTGTTTTTAATAAACATAAGCACAGCACAAGGTACAAACAATGCCTGAATTGGGAAGTACTTTAAAGAGAATTCAGTTGATGATATGATATGTTATGTTATTTATTTATTAATTAATTAATTTCTTTATTTATTTATTTCTTTATTTCTTTATTTCTTTATTTATTTAATTATTAATTGATTAATTTTTTATTTATTTATTTATGTATTTATTTACTTATTTCTTTATTTGTTTTTTTTTTCTTTATTTCTTTATATTTTTATTTATTTATTTATTTCTTTATTTATTTATTTTTTTATTTATTTAATTATTAATTGATTAGTTTTTTATTTATGTATTTATTTATTTATTTACTTATTTACTTATTTCTTTATTTGTTTTTTTCTTTATTTCTTTATATATTTATTTATTTATTTATTTATTTATTTGTTTATTTATTTATTGTGATAATATCTCAATTGCCAGCTTCTATTGAAGTTATTAAACAGGAATTATGCAGTAAAAGTTTTATTCCGAAACTGACACTTTCTCAAGCAATTTTATATTTTATTCCCCGTCAGGCATTATTACCGCCTTCTAAACGAACTTGCTATTAGAACGATCTAACAATGCTGAATTTTCCCACCCTCTCAAATTTAATTTGAACTTCACATAATAGGCGCATATGTTCATCCATTTCTTTAATGTACTTGGCATTAACTTTGTAATGAAACCGCGCCCACTGTTAATGTCGGCCGAATGGGTTTATTGAAATGGAAGTGGCGAGCAATGTACAAATTCCAAAAACAATGTAATGACACACACACATAAGAGAATTGCATTTACACACATCACAAATTCACAGAGAACTCAAGAACAATGCCAGCGAACATTTTCTACCGTTTGGATTTATTGTTATGTACAGGAGACATGTTTATACATGCTCTTATATCTGCTTATTTGTGTGTGTGTATGTATGTATGTGTAGCTGGCCTGGCACTGACAACAATTCGCTTGTATACACATAGGTGGTATGTGTGTGAAACACTGCGACGGCAATGTTTTACACACATACACTATGTACTATATACAAGTATGTATATAGTATATATTCATATTTGGCACACACGACGTATGCTGAATATTATTTTGGCTGCGCCATCAGCCAAGCAGAGAGGCAGAAAATCAGAAATCCGCAGTCGTCAGTCCGTAGTTTGCAATTTGCAATTGAGTAGATCCGTCGAAATTGGCAATTACACAATTTTTGTGCATAGACAATTGCAAGTGAGAATTCGAGTGCATGGGGACTGCAAATAGATTCTCGACATAAGGCAGTCGCCAACATTATCGGCGTCGTCTTCGAGTTTGCTGTTGTGATCTCTTTTTTTTGTTTGTTTGTCTAGGCACTCGAAATTTTTGGCGCGGCGTTGTGTGATTGATGAGCTTTTGCTCTCCATTGATGTGGCACTGACAGCAACAAATGATTCATGCAGCCCATAAAGAGATTGGCTGGAAAAAGTTTTCAAATTCTCCCCGCTGTTACATCCTTTGTCCCACCCACACTTTCGGGCTAAGTGTGCCTGCCACGATGTCAAAGGTCATGTGAACTTTTAGAAGGTTAACTGTCAAGCTCACACCCACATAAACGCCTCTGGTCGTGCATAAAGCTAGCCGTAAGTTCAAAAAAAATGGTTAGACAAAATGTATTCAGCCACACCTACAGTGAACATCGTTTTAATAGGCACAGTACTTTAATTATGAATTATTATAATTAAGTCAGTAATGGGAAAGATTTGCAGCCTTGAATATGAAACTTCTATAAAAAATTATTACCTTCCTTTCATGCTTTGTAAAAAAAATGTGTGAAATCGGTGATAGAAAATGATTAAAACAATTCGTTATCCACAATACTGTTGACTGATTTTGATTATTTTAGGGCTAAAAAGTTATTCACTTCACTTTCCTCTTTCGCACAAGGAGAAAGTTTTTAACTTTAAAACTTGAAATTTAATATAGCAACTTAAGGTTTCTGTAAAAAATGACTTTTCAATATAACACAAACAAGTTTTAGTTTACCATTTTCAATGCTTTTAATTACAAATAAATATAAAATAGCTTTTCTTATAAAACTTGGCGCTGACTTTTTTCACTGAGTTATATCTAAATTTTACTTTAAAAGTGCACCTCAATGATAAACAAATTAAATGTAGGCTTGGTATCAAAAAGCTTATACCTTGCATTAATTGAAAAAAAAAAAAAACAACATTTAGAAATAAAAACTAATAATTCAAATACCTCGCTTAACTCTGAAATTAGTTCATGAATGCGTGCCTATTTATTTGTTCGCTACTGTACTTGCTTACTCGCACACACACATGCACACATATGTCAAAAAGCTAGCTTGCATTAATTGGAAAAACAACATTTACATAGAAATAAAAACTAATAATTAATATACCTCCCTTAACTCTCAAATTATTTATTTGTTCGCTACTGTACTCGCACACACACATGCATACATATGCACCCAAAGCTGTGCAGCATCGACATCAAATAACGGCAGCTCCATCAACGTCGTAAAACTATCAAGCGCTGCCAACGTCGACGTCAACGCTAGCTTCAGCATCAGTGCCAGTGTTGTCTGCGCTAATAAAAGCGTTGAAATATTTACCGCACACACTTGCACAGTGACAGCAAAACCAACAACAACAATACAATTGCCTGCAGGTGTCACAACACATGGCACGCGTCCTCCCACACATACACACAGAAATGCATACGCAACACAATGTAGTTATAGATATGTATGTGTGCATGTGGGAATAAAGCGCATACCGTTGAAAATCCGCGCACATTCCAAAACAAATCCCACAACACTTCAAACGATGCCGCCACAGACATGATGACGCTTATTTATACAAAATTAGTTTATGCCATGAAGCAATAAAAACGCACACACACACAAGCTCCATGTACAATAGCCTGTGAATATGCGTGTGTGGGTAAGCCATTTAAATATAAACTTTGAAAGCGCTTTGTGCTCTTCAATTATTTGTTAACAATAAATATTTTGTTACATATTTGGCAACCAAAATCTAAGCAATATTAATGTTCCCAATGGAAACCAGGAACATAATTAGGTAAAAAACAAAAGTTTGGGTTGTCTAACTTTTGAATATTTTTAAACAATATAGTCGCCTTGCATGCTTAGAAAACTCAAAACAATGACCGAATCTCGCTTAAAATTAGATAATTTAAATATTAGAATGTATATAATGTTTTTAAAGGATTGTGTATGTTGAGCGTACACAGAGGCAGCTGCCGAACAAAAAGGGGAATTAGAAAAGTTAATCGTGGATGAGTTTTCTAAAAACTCGAGGAAATTAATAATAAACTGGAACAAGTTGGTACAGAAAGTTGCCTCCCCCATTTGTAAGAAGCTGCATATGTCCTTGAGGGTATGTGCGGTACGGCCACGGTGCAAAGCAAGAAGCCTTCAAACAGGGATTGGGATGGAAGCAACATTTTGGTGGCACTGTAAAAGTATACAAAATACATATTCCGTAAACATCACTTTTTAAATTGGTAAAACAAATTTTTTTTTTACCTGGAGCACTAACCAATAGCCAGCTTACAATTATAAAAACAATATTTACAAGCCAACGCATTGCAAGTCTTCTGAACGTTCTTGGGAAAGTGGATCCAATTTTAAGGCATGTCATGGCTCAGCTACTTAATTGATGTACCGCAAAGCCAATCCAATTTATTACACTACTTGCCCTGCATCGGAAGAGTTACTTTTATTTAAAAAATGTATATTGAATAGATACTCTAATCTGAATCACTTTCTATATACTTAGCGCGACTGGAATAGAAAGCTGGCGCGTTTAAGAAACTGATCTATGCATCCAATGCAGCTTTTAGATACAATGAAATATTATGAATGTAAGTTTTTTATACATTTTTCGTAATTAATTTGTTTAGTTATTTTTTTAAATTTTAATTAATTAAATACAATTAATAATAAAATCAAAAATACACAACACATACGTGAGGGGTGCATTAAAAAATAAAATAAGCACATACCATCTATGAGATCCAGTTCTTCATACGAAAGGCAGGCAGGACTAGACTTGTCATATTATGCTGATCTAGAAGGTATAAGTACATAGTTTGTGGGATCTGCCACGCCTCTTTTAGCCTGCTAAGCAAACCTAAACCAAAACCATGGCACAGACCTGATACACTCTTGTATATTTCAGGTACAGAGTATAATTAGCGGTGTTCATACAGATGGACGAACATGTCTATGTCGATTCGTCTTGTCACGCTGAAAATTGTAATCCTATGCACAGCCAACTCCACATATCCCTCTGCCTATTATACACTTTCAAACATTCTGGAAACGGCTATAAAAATTCATTAAATGAATGCCATGAAGCAAATCTTGTTGCAGAACCTAATTCAAAAACTGCGCTGTAAAAACATTTTTGTAAAACTTTCAAGAACCGTTTATAATTTTAAAAGAACGTCCAAATTATATAAATTCTAAATAAAAGCAACCAAATATTATAGCTCCTTTACGACTTAAGGTCTACTTAAATATTTTAAAATAAAGAAAGCTACGGAACACAAATTTTATTCTGTATGACAACAGGTATTAAGCGCAAATTATTTATGCATTTAAAACAATACTTAGGAACCCAAATCAATATTTCATACAAAACACATATTTAAATTAGTATGTAAATTAATGGCATGGCCAATTAATTAATTAAGCTAACGAAACCTTAATTTTATTCATATACCACATATGTATGTGCGTATGACTTGAACACTTTCCGCTTAAACTAATATTCAAATTGTATCTAGCAGTTGTAGATCTGGCATGGCGCCACGTCCTCAATCTCGTCGCCATCCAGAGTTTTTATTTGGCATTCGCATAGAAAATGCACGATCTTCCGCTCGGCATTGCGTCGCTGCTCCGGACTAAGGCTATCAAGCAACATTTGCGCTTTGCTCAGCATTTGATTGGCGCTGGTACCCATTTGTGCGGCCGTCGTGGTGGCCTCCAGCTCTAGTTGATGCCTTTGGTTTTGTGCATGCAGTGCCTGCAAACAATCCTTCGACTGCCGCAGCACAGTCTCTATGTTGGAAATCACATTCCCAATCAGTTTTTCGGGAGCAGGAGTGGGATCGTCACCAGAATTGCTAACCGTGGTAGATGGATCGATCAGCACTTCTTCACCACCAACAGCAAAGCTTTCACTATGCAACTGAGTCTCCTCCAATGATGGCGTTGTGTTGGTGCTGAGATGCAACTGCTGTGGTTGTTGCTGCTGTTCTACCATCAAAGTTGGCTCTTCTTCGACTATGAAGGTCTGCTGCTCCTGCTGGACTTGTTGTTCCAGTTGCTGTTCCGGTGGCGGGGATGTTGTCACTTGAATGAATTGGTCATAGGATGGTACGTATCTCGTTACCTGGCCGGCATCGGAGATTACAGCAATCTCGTCATCCGGATCATCATAACGTTCCTCGTTTTCCTCCAGTTCCTCGTTATCGGAGCTGTATGGATAATCTGCACCCCAGACTTGTGGGCTAGCACCCATATACATGCTGCTAGGGCTGATTTCCGTAATCTCGCTTTGGCCTTTTGATGGTCGTCCTGGCCGCTTTAAATTCTCAATGATCAACGGCACGCCCTTGCGATAGTGGTGAGCCAGAAATTGCAGATTGTTGTAGTAGCGCCATGTTACGGGCTGGCTCTGATTGATCTGATGGTTACGATATTCGCGGGCAAAGCGATCCCGCAGCTTCTTCCAACGATTGTAGCAGAGTTCCTCTAAAAAAAAAACTTGCAAATTAATGCCGCAGTTACATGGCGTTTTTCCAGAACTTACCCGACACCTCCAGACTTTCCGAAATAAGGCGCCAAGCATCGTTCTTGGCTGATAAATTATTTGAGTCGCGTATTTGTTTCCGATGATACAGAACGGGATGGATTTTGACCAACTCAATGAGTCGCTGATTCAACTCAATCGATTCTTGGTCCTGTTCTTCCTCTTCCTCCAGCTTTTTCTCGCTCTCACCAAAACGGGAGCGCACTCGCCGCCGCCGCTCTTTAGGCAGAAACTTCATGCCATCCAGACTCTCGTGCTTCACCAGACCGTGTTTGTAGTGATCCTTGAGGAAGAGCAGACGCGGAAACATATCCCAGTAGGTCGGCTCGTTAGGATGTTCTTGGAATCGACGGAACTCCTTGCCAAATCTGTCTCTTATACTCTTCCAGCGCGTTATGCAAGCGCGTTCTGACGCACCGAGCTTAAGCGAGACGGTCTAAAATTTAAGTAAACATCGCGGATACACACTAATTAGTTGGGGTAGAAGCCCAATGTGGATGAGCATACCTTCCAGGCGGCGTCCTTGCGAGATGCATTCTGCATGCCGCGAGCACTGTCCTTGTCGTAGAGTATGGGGAAGGATTCTATTAAATCAACCAGCGCATGGTCATCTAATTGACCGCTCATTTTTTAAAGTGCAAGAATTAATATTGAAGCAATTTAGTGCATCAGCATCAACACTAACGTTTCAGAACACTGTTTAACTGCAATACTAATCTCAATTTAAAATACCAAAATACCACATAATAGCAAAAATACCAATTCTGCATTAAAATATCGTCAGCTAAAAAAGTATCGATACCAGCTATGCATCGCTGGCGTTCACATCGCTATCTTGAAACACATTGCGAGTTGGGCTGCGAAAAAATTGGTTAAATTAGCGGATGCTCCGGCTTTAGTAAATGCAAAAAGTGTTAACAAACTACATTCTGTTTCAAAAACGAACAGCATTTCGTTTTTGTTGCATTTTTGTGCCTCTATCGAAAAGTGAAAACAACATTATATGAAACGTCAGTTTTTGCGAGTGACAAATATTGGTAGGGTAGCGGGTGCGAGGAATGTGTGTATGTGTGCTGGAATTCGCATGTGTGTGTATGTGTGTGACCAAAAAAGCCGACATCAGCAGCAGCGCAGCAACGTCGAAGTCAGCGGCAAAAACAGAAAACGTTGCGCCCATTTTTTGTTGTTGATTCATTAAATACGCTACATACACACCAAGGCAAAGAAGAGACACACACACGTCCAACGCGTATGTGTGTGCAAATACGTATACTCCGTGCATGTGTGCCTGTGAGTTGGAGCCGTCAGTCCAGCGCCATAAGTAGCAGTAGTATTAGTCTCTCCGTATTGGATCTCAAACACACATACACACGCACGCTCGCAAACGCCGACGTCCCCACCACATGCATGGCTTTAGCTCCGGCCACTTGAAGCAGCCGCTGCCGTAGCAGCAGCAAAGAAACAGTTACCGCACGAAGAGCACCGCAAAAGCAACGTCACACGTTTGTCATCGTGCTGGGATTTAAAAATAAGAAAATTTCTATATATTTTATATACATACATATATAATACGCGACTGCAGATAAATTCAAAGATGATATTGCTGGAAATCAATAATCGAATCATTGAGGAAACACTGCTGGTTAAATACCGCAATGCTCAGGCCGGGTGAGTAGTCGTAGTCGTCGTCGCCTTTTTTCCAATTTTCAAATATGTGCGGGACAGTATTTTATTTTATCTATTGGCCTCGTCGCTAACATTCTATGCGCGTTATCAATTTGAGTGAGTTTTATCAGCGCATTTGTGCCAGAGTGTGAAAGTTCGGATGTAGCTTAATTTTTATACACACCCAGGCGTTCGTCAATGCCTTCGTCTGTATGATTATGTGATATGTATGCACATACATATATACATATGTATGTATGTGCCATCGGCAGCGCCCGCACAACATTTGTTAATTCATTACAACTCATTTATATCGCGTCACTTGTGCATAGTCTGCAGCTAAACACCTCATACAAAGCCATATGCGGCGGATTGACTCATCGCCATTGTCGTTGTTGTATCGAAAAATCGAATAATCGTGGGGCGCTGGCAACATAAATATAAAAACATGAATGTGTGTAAATATTTATGTGTGTTTCTCTTGTTTACAAAACCCCCAAATTCTCCTTACTCAACTCATCCAAAAATAAATCCAAACTTATATACCATTTACGATAGCACCATGGAGTTCAAAGTGACATATTTTTGTTTATTTCTACAATCTGTGTCTCAAAAACTCCCAGACTAACCCAAAAAGACGAACGGCATCCTGTATAAACATTCATTTTATAACAGATGACTTGTGTTCGTGTACAGTATTACCCATATTTCCTAAAATATTCTGTTCGAAGGTGGGATTTATAAGTAAACTAGTCAGGTGTGTGTCCCAAAAACCCCTTCAAGATCGAACAAACCTATAGAGAAACTCGTTTGTATTCAAACAATTCTGCCCAAAAACATCTTTCAATACATAAAAACGAAAACGAGTTCCACACACCGCCCCGACCTCATTAAATCATACATTATTTTAATCGCAAACAATTTTTTTATACAACCCGATAAGATATTGAAAGCCTCCACAACAGCAACAATATCTAACAGGGGGCTGACTAATGCTACTACAGTATTTTTGTTATTTTTTCATTTTATAATATCACATTTGTTTTTTAATTTCCAGACTCAAACCAGAATCGATAGACATACGAATAGCAGACTTTGATGGCGTGCTCTATCATATTTCGAATGTGAATGGCGATAAAACAAAAGTGCGGGTGAGTGTTGTGAAAATTGTGCTTTAATTAACAGACTTGCATTTATCATTTATTCTCCCTCAAAATGTATATAGACGAGCATTTCGCTGAAGTTCTACAAACAGCTGCAAGAGCATGGCGCGGACGAGTTACTGAAGCGTGAATATGGCAGTTTACTGACAGACACCGAGGAAGGTGGGTTTCAAGCACGCCAACTACCCGTAATTACAGAGCCCTTTAATTAAAAAATTGTTTGCACGCAGGCTACAATGTTTCTGTACTTATCAATCTGGAGGATATACCCGCGGATTGGGAGAAGATAGCAAAAAAAATTGGACTGCTGAAACGCAATTGCTTTGCATCAGTGTTTGAAAAGTACTTTGATTTCCAGGAGCAGGGCGAGGAGGGCCAAAAACGTGCCGTTATCAATTATCGCAATGATGAGACACTGTAAGATTTAATTGAAGAAAACTTAATACAAAATAACGAATACAATCTGTTTAACATGCAGCTATGTAGAAGCCAAACCGGATCGTGTCACTGTAGTCTTCAGCACCATCTTCCGAGATGAGGACGATGTTATCATTGGCAAAGTATTTATGCAGGAATTGAGAGAAGGTCGACGTGCTTCGCATACAGCGCCACAAGTGCTCTTCTCGCATCGCGAGCCGCCATTGGAACTGGCAAATACTGATGCCAGAGTTGGTGATAACATTGGATATGTAACGTTTGGTAGGTGCCTCATATCGGCCTCACACTATTCAAGTATACTAAGAGATATAACTCTGGGGTTTAAAGTGACATATTTCAGTAACCCCTCTGAATTGCGTCTCTAACGCTCCAAAATTAATTAAGACGAACGGCATCCTGAATAGACCATTATTTTATATCAGATGACTTGCGTTCGTCTACATCACTAGATAAACTCTCCTACAAAATATTTGTGCAAGAACTTCCTGGAGCTAAAAGTGACATATTTTGAGTTTTCTTCTCGCTTATGCCTCATATACTCCCAGAAAAACTTAAGGTATGAACGGCATCCTGTATAGACCATCATTTTATATCAGATGACTTGTGTTTGTGCACATTTAAGTAAAAATTGAACTGTTATACATGGTGGAGCTAAAAGTGGCATATTTAAGAGTTTCATACTAATTTATGCCTCATATACTCCCAGAAAAAGTTAAAGTACGAACGGCATCCTGTATAGACCATCATTTTATAACAGATGACTTGTGTTTGTGCACATTTAAGTAATCAAAAATTGAACTGTTATAAATGGTTGAGCTAAAAGTGGCATATTTAAGAGTTTCATACTAATTTGTGCCTCATATACTCCCAGAAAAAATTGAAGTACGAACGGCATCCTGTATAGACCATCATTTTATAACAGATGAATTGTGTTTGTGCACATTAAATCATAAATTGACAATCTCTTAGACAAGATGGAGCTAAAAGTGGCATATCTAAGAGTTTCTTACTAATTTGTGCCTCATATACTCCCAGAAAAAGTTGAAGTACGAACGGCATCCTGTATAAACCATCATTTTATAACAGATGACTTGTGTTTGTGCACATTAAATCATAAATTGACAACCTCTTAGACCAGATGGAGCTAAAAGTGGCATATTTTAGAGGTTTATACTAAATTATGCCTCATATACTCCCAGAAAAAATTGAAGTACGAACGGCATCCTGTATAGACCATCATTTTATAACAGATGACTTGTGTTTGTGTACATTAAATCATAAATTGACATTCTCTTAGACAAGATGGAGCTAAAAGTGGCATATTTAAGAGTTTCATACTAATTTGTGCCTCATATACTCCCAGAAAAAATTGAAGTACGAACGGCATCCTGTATAGACCATCATTTTATAACAGATGACTTGTGTTTGTGCACATTAAATCATAAATTGACAATCTCTTAGACAAGATGGAGCTAAAAGTGGCATATTTTAGAGGTTTATACTAAATTATGCCTCATATACTCCCAGAAAAAGTTGAAGTACGAACGGCATCCTGTATAGACCATCATTTTATAACAGATGACTTGTGTTTGTGCACATTAAATCATAAATTGACATTCTCTTAGACAAGATGGAGCTAAAAGTGGCATATTTTAGAGGTTTATACTAAATTATGCCTCATATACTCCCAGAAAAAGTTGAAGTACGAACGGCATCCTGTATAGACCATCATTTTATAACAGATGACTTGTGTTTGTGCACATTTAAGTTAAAAATTAATAAACTGTTATACACGGTGGAGCTAAAAGTGGCATATTTTAGAGTTTCATACTAATTTATGCCTCATATACTCCCAGAAAAACTTAAGGTATGAACGGCATCCTGTATAGATAATCATTTTATATCAGATGACTTGTGTTTGTGCACATTTAAGTAAAAAATTGGACTGTTATACATGGTGGAGCTAAAAGTGGCATATTTAAGAGTTTCATACTAATTTATGCCTCATATACTCCCAGAAAAAGTTAAAGTACGAACGGCATCCTGTATAGACCATCATTTTATAACAGATGACTTGTGTTTGTGCACATTAAATCATAAATTGACAACCTCTTAGACAAGATGGAGCTAAAAGTGGCATATCTAAGAGTTTCTTACTAATTTGTGCCTCATATACTCCCAGAAAAAGTTGAAGTACGAACGGCATCCTGTATAAACCATCATTTTATAACAGATGACTTGTGTTTGTGCACATTAAATCATAAATTGACAACCTCTTAGACCAGATGGAGCTAAAAGTGGCATATTTTAGAGGTTTATACTAAATTATGCCTCATATACTCCCAGAAAAAATTGAAGTACGAACGGCATCCTGTATAGACCATCATTTTATAGCAGATGACTTGTGTTTGAGCACATCAATTATTCCGACCTTTATGTTTATAAAAAGTCTTTTAGTCGCTGATCTTCCATCGATTTTAGACTTCAGTATAACTTTATTATTCATATATTATAATAATTTATTGATATTATTACAATTTTGAAAATATAACTTAAAACTTGTGTTAATGGGCTTCTTCGATATTTTCGATATTTTTACTTACAGTGCTCTTCCCACGTCACACCAACAAAGAAACACGGGATAACACGATCAATCTAATACACATGTTCCGAGACTATTTGCATTATCACATTAAGGTAGCCACCCTTAACTATATTTCAAAGTCATATTTACTTATTTCTTCTCAATATCTATAGTGTTCAAAGGCTTATATTCATTCGCGCATGCGAGCAAAAACCTCAGATTTTCTTAAGGTGCTAAATCGTGCAAGGCCCGAGCCCAAGAATACGGAGAAGAAAACTATAACGTAAGTGAAATTGTATTATTAATCATCCTAGTTTTTAACTAATTGTCTGTTTCTTTATCTACAGGGGGAGAACATTTTATCGCAAGGAATGATGCGAGCAGTATATTTAGTTGTTTTTTATATAAATGCAAAAAATTAAAAAAAATATATATATATATTAATTGTATTACAGCAGAATTTAGGCAGAAGAAATCATGAAATTCTTGCGGAAAATGTTTCAAAAACTACATAAGTGGTGAAAAACAAAACAGAAAGCAGCGAAGTAAACTGCAAATATTCCAAAACGATAAGCTATTGTGTAAGCTCAACAAATGATTATGAACAAAGGAGATAATAGTTATGCGTTAGTATTGAAATTGAGCTCTGTGTGTGTGTTCTGTGTCAGTCAAGAGTCAGCAAAGTGTTTTTTGTTTTTGTTACAAACCTACATACTTACATACATAGCCAAGAGTTGTCAGCTTCAGATTCAAAGTCAGAGTAGGTGTTGCGTCAATATATCACGAACTACAAAAGAATTGTGAAGCAAAACATTTTAAACTAAACATATAACCTAAAATTAAGTCCCAAAAATAATTGAAAGCGTTCTTTGTGAAGCGCAAGAAACTGTTTGAGAATGTCATTTGAAACGAAAAAATGAAAATAATTAATTACACACATACTTGTTAATGTCGCAATTCAAATGCTGCCCTCACAGACCTACTAGCAATGTAAAACACAATAAATAAAGAAAACATAAACTTTGATACATCCGAAAATGAGAAAAAGAAACCTAATAAAATCCGAAAAGAATTTGCAATGCACAATTGTTTTCCTTTTTTACATTTTTATTGAAATATTTCAATAGTTTTAATATAACACTTTACATATAACACAATCTGAGTATTTCACATTAGAGTTTTTAGGTCGTTAAATTGTTTCAATTTCAGAAAATAAGCAACGCATTTGAAAAGGAGGACTCGCGGATGTGGAGCGAAATCAATAATTTAATCATTCTAATTAAAATCAGAGACAAAACAGGCCCGCATAAATAGTTCTTGAATAATGGACCGAAAATACACGTATTTCAGTTGTCACAAGAAGTTGTTTGAGAGAAGAAGGCCTTAAAATTGTTGTTGGTTCGTGTTTCGCAGTAAAACAGTGTTGATTAGGAATTGAAGATGGTCTTTAATGCGACAACTGCCACAAAGTAATGGATCTTTGTATAAAATCGATTGGAAAATCTATTTAAAGCATTTTAAATCTTTGACAACTTTTTGATCACTTAATTCTGAATCATTATCTGAATCAGCCATTAATAATTAAAATGGTGGGCTATGTTTCATTGCGAGCTGCGAAAAAGCAGCAAAGGCTGTGAAGCTTAAGAAGTATTGGAAAATGTTTAAAGATTATTACAGGAACTGCCTTAAAACTTTAAAAGCATAAAGGATTAAAGCAAGATTACTCTCTTATTTAATTCAATTGACCTTAATCGAGGGGATGCTCGTTTGCCGAATCCAACAATTAAACAATTTAAGAATTTCACTTGGTTTGGTTTGAATTAAATTTTAAATTTAACATTTTGTTTTTCGTTTAAACTTTCCAGGCTAGTCTGCAGATTCAGATAATCGCTCTGTATGCGCGCACAGACTGCAAAAGAAATGCGTAGAATTCCATTTGTTACTAATTTAGTTAAATATTTCATTTAGTTTATTTAGACATTCACATGTGCTGGAAAGCGTTATACTCACATAGGCAGTGTTTTGTTTTTATTTCTGTTATATGTTAATTCCAATAGTTAAGTTACTTTTGTGCTTAGGTGTAGAGTTTTGTTACAGCGCACTACGGATCATCATACTCTTCCAATTTTATATAAGCAAGTGCTGTGATAGAGAAGTGAAAGTGTTTGTATATATATATAAATTTTATAGAAAGTAGAACAAGATACAGGTTTAACAAAATGGAAGCGAAATGCGTAAGAACTTAAAGAAATAGTTTTGTACGATTAATACAAGTAGGACTTTCAGTTCGCTTCCATTTGAAGAAAACTTGACAGCATTTAAACAAATATGTATGTTCTCGAGTAGCGTGCATTGCGAGGACAGGTTTGGAGTATATGTAGAATGAATCGTTTATCATTTCTACTTATATGTGTGGGTGGGAAACACAAGCCAAAAAGGGCTTGGCTTGAAAATTTCCCTACAAGTGTGTCTGACAAACAAATTGGGGCAGTTGGGGGGGAGGAGATAATATTATAGTACACGTATACAAGTATTTCGTAGGAATACTATAGTTTGGGTTGTTTGGCTTGTTTAGGTCTAAACGTCATAATGGATATATAGTATGTACAATGGTTATGCTTTGTGGGATTTGGGGATGCGACTTATTTACAGGCATGCAAGAATGTTTCGCTCTAGAATATATAGAACTCACCCTTTTGCAGATCCATGTCGTCCATTTCGGAGTTCTTTATTTGCTGCAATTTCTCGCGAAACTTCTTCGTTATCTGTTTGCGTTGATAGTCAGCCTCGATTTCCTGTTTGGTGCGCGGTATGCGGAATCGTATGCAACAGCAAACCATAATCACTGCAATAGTAGGGTATTATCCTGGTTATATTGAACAAAACTTATTTAATTAGCGCTATACCAATGCTCATTAGAATGCCCAGGCAAGAGGCGATTATGTGCCAGCGCCGAAAACCTCCAATTGCCTCCTTCTCCAGCCAATTGGGATCTATATCGAATATATCCGTATCGTCATCCATTCTAATTGATGATTCCCGTACGCTATCCTTGAGCCCTTACTTTGTGATGCGTCGGACGCTGCTTCAGGACACGTCTAGCTACTTCGCCTGGCCAATACAGACTGTTCATTTATAGCCACAGTCTCTCCCTTGGCCTGTTGGCCAAACCAACTGGGTGTTTGGCGCGCTGATAGCAACACAAATACGTCGAATGACAACGGCTTGGTTGGGTGTTGGGGCACACCCTGTACCGCGTGGGAGCGCAAAATGGCAAGCTCGAAAAAATAATATTAAAAAAACAAACAAAAGAAAAACATAATGGCAATTTGAATGGGATGGGGCTTGTGCTGTAAGAAAATTTCTGCCATATCCATACCCTACACATACTAGGGTCAGCAAAAGTCTGTAGGCATGCATTGTGAAGAAGCATTTAAGGTCTATTAAAGGGAATTAAATAGATGTTAGCTTTTTAAAGTAAAGTTACTGAGAACCTTGATAAGAAATAACTCTAATATAATGACTTTTTACCCTTAGAGAACAGGTATGTAAATAGTAATAAGGAGAGTTTTAATAACTTATCATAATTATAGTAGGCTAGTTATAGTTTTCATTTAAATACTAGGCGTATTAACTTATCAGCCCAGAATATGTATATGTGTACCTCGAATGGAGAAATGTCTTTCCATAGCGCCATAGAATATAGAATGTACTATTCTGAATAGGTTTAGTAATGATGCTTGTCCCTTGAAAGTTCTGGAGATGCTAGATTGCCAGAAAATAAATATTATGAGGGCCTAGTGTTTTTTATTATACTTCAGAAGTCCTTAAATAAAAGGAATACCTTTTTATGATCGACAACAAATATGTAGTTTGAAATCATTATTATTAAAAATAACAATAATAAGAAAAAATGATAATTCAAGCTAAAATACTTGTAGAATTTTAAAGTTCTTTCGTAAAGTTGGCTTAGAAATAATATCTATCAATCAATATCTATTTCCATATATATTAATCAATATCTATTTGGAAATGACTTTATTTGTATAATTTTAAAATTCTTTCGTAATTTTGGATTAGAAACAATATCTATCAACCAATATCTATTTACTATTTATCTATCAATCAATATCTATTTGGTAATGATTTTATCTTCTAAACAATGAACATGCATTCAAATTAGAGTTGAAAAAAGCAAAGATAATTATATACAGGTTCAAGAAAATTGTATAACATTGAAAGTAGGTTTGTTTCCTTTCCTGCTTCAAATTGTGATAATTTTATGTGTAAATCATGAATTACTATCAATTTATTTTATATATTATTTTACTTAACTAATTTCAAAAATATGTATTGCTTCGATGCTGAAGTTATTTCCATAAACCATGATTTAAACTATGATCGTATCATTCTTAAAATTGCAAAACAAAAAAAAAGTGCAAAAATATATTCAACTAAAATTGCCAACTTTCGTGCTAGTTTTGGAAAATTTCGCTACGCTTGTAACTTTTTGAGAAACTCCAAACCCGCATGTTTATCTTTATGTGATATCTCATATTTCATAAACTAGCATATCTCTCCGGAACGTGCCCAACCTCCCCATTGTAGGGACACTCGTCCAGACACCATGAAAGCTGAAAAGTCATGATAAATATTTTACTGGCAGGCAGACGACGCCACTGCTCCTCCATTCAGGCTCGCATGAAAGCGAAAATGACAACAGACTCGACTCGAGTCGACTAGAGTCGCCGTCTATCTATCCCACTAACTGACTGACTAACTATGGTGGCCGCCTCACAGAATTGGGTGCGGTACGTCCGCGTGCCACAGCACGACAAAAATAATGTTGCCTTTTCCTTCTTTTTTTTTGCATACTGAGAGCTCTGTTGTAGCCCTCACAAAGGACAACATGCATATGGTTAGTTAGGTAGCCATAGACGCCACATGCTGGGCACACCCAACAACAACAACAACAACTCCAACAGCAACAGTAACAGTAACAACAATAACGACAGCAGCAACACCTGAACCCACCCATACACTCGCATGGCCGCCCACTTAGCCATGCGCTTGCCCATTCGTTGGCTGTTTAATTTGTTGACTTTTTGCCACTGTGAATGATGTGTTGGGTCTCGGACCGTGCCAGGACGTGCTAGGTTTGGAGGGGCGTAGGATATTTGTGGGTGGGGGGAGGAGAGGGGCAAGTGTTTGCCTAATGACTGTGGCATTTACTTTAGTCGTTGGCGTGCTTCTTGCGGGCGTTTAGCATTATGTGATTGCAATTATTCTAGATGAGCTGGCCTGTATTATTATTTGCCAAGAAACAGGCAGCTTGCATCAAAGAATCAACAACATTTATTTGCTGCCAATATTTTATATTTATTATGTTTTTTCCACACTAAACATTCTATATATTTATGCTAATATATGAAAAACAAAGAGTTTATAATGATTAACAGAATTCGAACAAAACAATATTAACTGAAATTATTTTTTAAAAATACATTACTTCAAAAAAGTAAATACTTTAATGAGTTTAATTGAAGCATTATTAGTTTTCAACTTCAGGTGTTTGAAGGAGTTTGAAGGTGTCTGTATATTAAGAATTACATATTTAACTACTTTAGATTGATGGGGAACGCTCTTTCCATAACCAAACTGAAGAAGCAATTTCAGTATAAAACATCAGCCTTAATAGTTGCCCATTTCAATTTTTAAACAAAGCCAAGTTCAATGTCAAATGAATGTTTATGGTGTTTCTAAGAAAGTTTCAGGTTGTAATTTTTTGCACCTGTGCCCCACTGTGCCATGTCCCAATGACCTAATAAAATGTATGAAACGAAGACAAGATAGTTCAAAAGTGTTACAACAACAACAAAAACACTAACAGATAATCACTACGCTCTTATAAACTCGCTCGTTTACTCGCTCATTCTTTTTTGAAATTACTCTCAAAAATTGGCAATGCACCGTTATGTGAGCCCACTACCCACACACATTACTGCCATATGGTAACGCCAGGCATTCACAATAGACCCAACAGACTCGCCCACTTCTGCGCAAGCGTGCAGAGAGGAAACTTTTCCGTTAGAAGGAACGAGTTAACTCACACACAGGCACAAAAAGTGGCTCATTCAGTCACTCATTCAACAAAAATATATCCTGGCTTTTAGCTCTGGCTGCAAAATTCAGTTAAGGCACGTACACTCGCTCGTTCGGTGGCAAAAAGCTGGGCCGTCGCATGCAGAAAAGCAAGCTGAAAGCTGAATAAGTAAAAAACCAAAAACACACACACAGCTCTGGATGAAATTTGTGTGGCACCGTCGTAGTCAAATGTTGTACGTATCGTGCGTGAGTGTGTGTGTGTTTTGAGTACATAATAAGGCCATGGAGTTTTATTGAAAAATGAAAATGTGCCTTGAAAGCAGGGGGAAAAACTAGCAGCATTATGCCATATTGATATGGAAATTTCTTTCTTTCGAGCGCCAGTGAAAAACTATGGCCATGTGGATAAGCACAACCAGCAATTTGGTAACGTGCAGCTGCCCCTGCTGTGGCAGCGAAGGGCACGGCGAGGCTGAGTTGCGTTAAAAATTTTGCAATTGCCAAAAAAAAAGTTGAGCAAAGATCAAATCAAAGAAAACTCGCTACGCAGATCGTGTAAATAAATCTAAGCCAAATTTAACCTATATTTCAAAAAATATATACAGTGCCAGCAACAACAACAAAACAGTAGCAACTGCTACGTTCAGCAACAACAACTAGAATAAAAGGTGTGAGAGCGGCAAAGTGTGCGAAAAAAGAGAGAAAAAAGGCAATGCGCGTTAGTGTGCGTGCGTGTGTGTGAAAGGTGTAAAAAATGTACATTTTGTGAATTGGCCACATAAAAGCAAAAAAAAGAAAAGAGAAAAGGAAAAAAACAAAAACGAGTAACGAGTGTAACCAAAAACAACTCCTAACGTAGAATCGAACGTAACGACCACCACCACAACGACGCTGACGGCGACGACCACGACGTTATATTTAGCCGCACAACGTGACGACGACTGCAGCGACTGCGACTACCGCAGCGACGCAGCATTCCGACCTACTAACACACCAATCAGCCACACTACGCACAAATGTAGTAGTTGATGTTGTTGTTGTTGTTAAATAATGCATGATGATGGTCCATGCTAAGTCAAACAATAATGCCAGATATGCCAAATGCAAAAATATATAACCACATATACAACCAAAAGCAATCATATTTAACTAATTTAACAAAATGCACAAATATCCCGGCTTATATCTTAGCCAGTGCGCACTGCCAATGCGCCGACAGCAGCATCAGCACTTTTATCAGCATACAACGCGTCCACCGACGCTGTGAATAATAAAACTATATCTAAACAACATCCAAAATCACAACACCACCAGCAAAGTAAGCACGCTTCTCTTTTTTTGTTTATAAAGTTACGGTTAGACAGGCAAATAATTTGCAAATAAATGCATTTAATTTTTCAAGCATGTCATGATGTCTAATGTTAATTACTCTCAACTGAATTGGTATTAGATGTACCTTTCATGGCCTTTAAGAACAATTTAATGACTTTTTGTCTGACCGTAGCATAACTTAGCTATAGTTTGTGTGTGTAAATTACTGCTTGTTTGATTTATTAGTTTGCTTGCTTCATTTGTGATTGTCAATGCCTACTAACTGACTTTAATTTGGCTAAAAATTCAAAGTTAAAGCCGTTCTCAATTCTAAGCCGCTGTAGTTTAACGGTCAAAAAAGCAATAGTCGGCTATCGATAAATAAGCTATTCGATTAGCCGTTCAGTGTTGGGAAATACACACGCGCTCCACCGTCATGTTATCGCGCGCAAACGCATAACTAAAAGCCCAAGAAAAGAGAGCAACGTCAATTGGTCTGGCAGGCAGGCAGGCGACAAACGTACGTATTATAGCGGTTATTCCTATAAAAATTAAAACAAATCGCTCGCATCCAACCATATTAAAGTACATTGCAATTGTGTGCTAACGTGGCCGTGTCATGTGGACTGGTGACCCCATGGGCAAGAACTTGAGCCTTTTAAATTCATTCAGTTTGTGGCTACTCTTCCGCTCCTTCTCGCGTTGGTAACACGCTTACTACGTGATGATGGGAAAAATTCACGAAACAATACGATGTGGAAAATAATAAGCTGCTTGATTTCCTTTTATATTTTATATGTGCCCTTTTATTTTGACAACTTAATGTAGGCAATTTCGCGTGCCTGCTTATAGATGTGTGTGTGTGTGTGTGGTGTGTGCGCTGTCAACGTTGTCGTCATCGGTGTGTGTACTTGTGTGTGTGTGTGTGTGCGAAATTCGCTGCTGTGGGGGCCAAATTTGTTATGTCAATAATTAACAGCAAAACTTACGGTAAAAACGTCAGCGAAAAGGCCGCAAAAAAGTGCGTAAGACAAGGCGCTTTCACTGGGAGCGTGTGAAAAATGGGCCCAAAACTAAAACAACTCGTCGACGGGAAGAATGTTACTACATTTTTTCGCCTGTTTCTTTTTTTTTTTTTTGTGACAAACGTCGTTGTCATCGCATGTGTGCGGCGCCCCTACATGTGGGTTCATGTGTATTTGTATGTGTTGCGCCCCATTCTTGCGGCCGTACTAGGAAAAAGAAACAGCAGGCTGGCAGGCTGACTTGCTAGCAGGCAAGAAGGCAAGCAGGCAGGCAGGCAGCAATTGCATTTGGCAATCATACGGAAAATTGATTTTTTGCCAAATGCGCGAACATTTTGTGTTGTACAATGTGTTGAAATTTGTACATTCTGGCGTTTTACACACACTTCTGTTTTGTTGATATTCTTGGTAGTTTCATTTTTTTTTCGATTTATGGCAGGTGTTTGCTTGAGAATGCGTGTACAAACAGGCAAAAAGGAGCAGCATTGCCACAGCTTCAGGTGTTTCCAAAAACCAATTCGGCTATACATACATATGTATGTATGTGTGTGTATGACGGCCTTCTCGACCAATTGGCACATTACAACATTTTTGTTTTTGCTGCTCCTCAGCTTTAGCATAGTACATACTTGTCTCCCCTTTTTGAATTACATTAAATATTTAAAACATATGCAAATTTGAACAGTAGCCATGCCTGCCGCGGCCTCAACGCGCTTGCTATTGTTGTTGTTCTTACTGCTGTTGAACATACATTCATACACACACACCTACATACATATGTACATCTTCAGCTGCTCTGGTTCTGCTCCTCTTCTGCTTTTATAGTTGTAGCGTGTGCCGTACGCCGTCTATAGTGTCGTGCTAATCGTTTTGTGTGGCAAGTGTTGCCCTTTTTTTGGGCTTACTTCTGAGCGCTTTTATATGTATTTGTGTATGAGTGTGTGCCCCTTTTTACACGCTACTACTTTTTTGCATTACGACGCCATATCCTTACCAGCACACACACACACACACTTGCACACACAGCAATCAACGCGGTAAGCCGTGGCATGTGGCAGTGGCTTCGAGCCGCAGCTGCTTCTCTCGCTTCTCAAATCAAATGCATTTCGATTGCTCCGTTTGCCATGCCTGTGACTCTGTCACTATGTCTCTGTCTCTGTTTGTGTGTACATTTCTTCATATGTATGTATGTATGTACGTGTATATGTATGTGTTTGCAAGTGCACTCAACTTGTGAACTACAGCGCAAGGATTCTTAAACACCATTTTCGTTGCTTCCCTATGTGTGAATACATTAATGTGTGTGTGTGTGTGTGGCTACCACCTTAAGTTGAGCTGCTGCTTCCTTTTCGCACGAGCGCCCCGGCATGCCGCCGCCCTTTCCCCTTGCCCTTTGCTCTTTGGCCCACATACACAACACGTGCCCATTGTGCCGCAACAAATTTACTCCAGTTTTGACTTTTGCTCCGTTTTTCGTCTACAATTGTATGAGTTCATACACACACGTACATATTTTAAATACCATGGACAGCAGTCCAAGAAGTGACGAAAGCCAAAGCGGTTGAAAACCTGCATTTTTGTGGCCCGTTTATTCTCTGTTCGCTTAAACACAGACACTGCAGAACTATTTCATATGCCTAACATTTTAATAATAACGACTAATAAATAACTTTTTCGGAAAACAATATATTATTTAATGTCTATTTAAGATCAATCTCGTGGACAATGATGTGGTCAGATTGGTAGTTAAAAGTGTTGGATTAGTATATGATACTGCAGTCTAGAGAATACCTCCATGGGATGCGGGCTTTTTTAAAAGACATTTTTTTTTTTTTAGATAGTTGACTAGGTGGGTGACGTGATAATGCGAAGCCGGTCTATAAAAGTCCAAAAACAGCGCCAAACCCTATAAAGAGGAATAAGTACAAGAACTATCAAAAATCCTATTAAGAAAGTGGGAAAAAACAAACTTCATAATATACTTTTCAGCAGTTTGATAACAGAATATACATATATAGAAAAACCGAAGAAAACATTTATCTCTTTTTATGTATTTCCCTTAAACTAGGTGCAATATTTTGTCCTTTTTGTTAGTCTACTTGTGATAAGTTCCATGTTTTTCGACAAATAAATATACAACTTTGTTTTGAAACTCAAAAATAATCGCAAAATAACAATTAATTTTCTTTACATAACTTATGAATTCTATTCACATGTATGTTTGTTTATATATCTGATTAATTGTGAATAGAGTCTTATTGTGAAGGAATTGAAGACTCTTCTCTTCTTCTGTCTTAGACAGTAATTTTTATTTGCCTTTTCGTTTCGCCACTAGATTTTTGTGAACGCATACGTGTTTGTGCGAATGTAGCTTTGAACTTCTTTGATTGCGAAAAGCAGCTTACATGTGTAGAACGATTGTTCTGTATGGCCGAATTGTTGAATTTGTGAGAATTCTTCTGCCTGGCTGGACTTTAATTACGTAGAGCTAAATTAGAACATAAGAGCAGCAGAACCGATTTCGTATCTGTGTACTATACAAGTATGTCTATTCTCATTTTCATAGAGTGTAAAATTTGCTTAGAAACTTTGGATTATAATCGTACATTTTGTGGCAATTAACTTACAAAACATATGGTAGTACGAATCGTATTTCGGTCAAATACTATGTATGGTTAATATCGAAATTTCTTCAAAATAATTACCTGTGAAAGATTGTTACTTTTGAATGAGTTGAGTGCGATTTTCCCCATCTCTAACGTTCTCGTAAAGATGCTTCAACATTGAAGCTGTTATCGCTTAGTAGTGGAATAAAGTTCCCTCTTGGCCAAGGTACTTTTGATTTAAAAACCACACCGTTAAGTGTTTCTATTGCATTATTTAATTCACAGCTCTAATTTTTATTTGTTTTCAATTGTAATTTCCTCGTATTATCGACTTAAAAGGTCACTTAAATGGCAATAACCAAAACCAGTCAATGTTGATGCTTCGCTTTATTCTATGCACTAATTAAAACTTGTTAATTAATGGTTCTATCGTAATATGAAAAACGTGCTTTGGCAAACAATTCTAAGTGTGCTGTGTGGGCGCGTTTGTTGCTACTTCTGCCTTTGTTTTTCCTATTATTGTGGCACTGTCTGGGCGTTTGCTCCAACTGCGACCACTAATTAAGATGTTCCGAAGTGGGCAGAGAGAAGCAGCCGCCCAGACGGTAATTTGATTTATTTGACATTAGCACCTTATGCGTAAAGACACACATCCGCATGTAGTACACAAATACGAGAATGCCTATTACGGTGGGTCTCTGAGACCGTTTAAAGCTTCGTAACAAATTACTGGAAATGTGAGGCAGGCTAATTGAATGAGACAGCAGCTGTTAGGTGCATGCGAGATGGAGAGAAGTGTCGTTAAATATTTATTAACTTATAGCATACATGTGTACATAATATCTATCATTGCTTGAAACTATATTTATCGTAATTCATTTATTGTCTGCTCAACAGCAATGCAATCAAATATATTTTGCTTATAAAATGTGTGGCCTAAACAAATATAAAATGCTCATATTCCAAGTTTGTATTTTCACAGCTTGATTGTTTTCAAAGTATTGAGGAGCGCTTAGAAGCAATTTGTCTGTTTTAGTGATATTTTTGTAATGTAATATTTTTCTCTGATATTGCTGATGTACCTAATGATCCGATATCGGCGCCTCTTTATTGCTTTGATGCTCAACTACTTCATTACAAAACTGACAGCAGTCCAGAGTATTTTTTCTGTATTTCGACTAACCCGCAATATTTCCATACATTATTTTTAGCGTGTGGTTAGCTGCCTGACTTTAATATTAGTTGTAGATCTCTGACATAACATACGAGTATTTGTTAATGGATTGCAAAGTTGCTTTTCTGGATTTTTAAGCTTTTAGTTATGAGGTACGAAGGCAAGGAGCTGACAAAGGAACTAAGTTTTCAATTAACAATGCGATTATGCTTACATAAATAATAGTATATGAAGCACACCCTCAGTACGTTTATTCACTCTCATGAATGTTAAGTCTCATCCGCTTTCGATCGCCCTTTCGCCCTTGTTTGCTGTGAAATCCACTTGAACATTTGTTTAACACTCACTTACTAAAAACAACTTTTTGCTTATCTCTCTTTCTCGCTCTTTATACTTACAGGTGCTGATAACACAAAACAAGTGGCAATAAAAAAGTAAAATAGCAAAAATAAAAAGGAGGCGAAAAAAATCTAACACGAAAGTCGAGAGTGAAGCAAAAAAGCTAGTAAGTTGCCAAAGTTGAGGGCAAGCAAGAAAAAAAAAGGAAGTGAAACAAGTGTGTGAAAAGTGTTAAAAGTGTTTTTTCCCGCCCTCTCTGTCTGTGTGTTTGTGTGAGAAAATTTTTGGCTAATAAAAGAGAAAGCAAATAAAACAAACGCCACAGCAATTGCAGAAAAGTTTCTGGCAAAAGCGACCAAGTCGTCACAACGTCGTCCACAAAACCATCGACGTCCAGTGCTGCTGCTGCTGCCGCCGTCGCTGCTGCTGCCACAAGCTCGTCCACTTCCGCCGCTGCTGCCGCTGCCAACAACAGCAACACCGCCAAGGTCAGAGCCCAACGCCAGACATCGACGCAAAGTCCACCGCCAACGGCAGCAGCGGGTGTGGGAGCGGGCGGAGCAGTCACGACGAGCACACGCAGCGGCGGACGCAGCGGTCAGCGTCGTCGCAGTAGCAGCAGTAACCCACACGCCGGCACAACGAAAGCGACCAGCGGGAGCGGTGGAGCTGGCGGCGCCGGCGGTGGTGGCGGTGGCGGCGCGTCGGCCAACATTAAGCAGAGCGTCAGTCGCAATAGCAACATACGGAGCTCCTCGTCCAACAGCACCATGGCGTCGGCCAATCATCGCGGCGGCCGTGGCGGCGGTGGGGCCGATATTGCCGGCACCGCGGCCGGCTTACAAATTGGTTCCGCGTGGTTTCAGCGCAAGATCAATCTAAGGCCACAGCATCGAGGTGTTCATTTAGTCACAGAGGAAATACTCAGACAGATGCCAGAGCTGGCGCATTTCTCTGTGGGATTATGTCATATGCAAAGTGAGTACACTGAGAGAAATACAATAAACTCTATAAACTGAGAAGAGTCACAAATGTTTAGCATTCTAAAGCGTTAAAAAAAATGGGAATTTTATATAAAACCACAATTTATATAAAAATTGGTTTAATAATGAATAATTTATATTAAATCAACACTTTCTTGTACATTTCGAGTCGCTTGTATACTTTAAATGTTTGAACTTTGGTTTAAAAAAAAAAACGTACTTAAAATGCTTTTAAAACCAATAATTTGAACATGAGCTTGTCTGCATAGCGGCTTAAATTATTCACATACTTGTACGTTAGGTGAGTCTAGATCTAGTATATGCATGTACATATATCTAGATCGACAAAAGGACAATACTTACAGTTCTAGCTTTTACTCTAAAACGTTTTAAATTCCTTAAAAAATAAGTATAAAGCCACACATTCTTAAATTGTAAACTAAAATTAAACAAAATGCTTACCAAGTTTTTACACATGCCGATTAAACTTCCAAACGCAATAAATTGTGTATTTGATACCAAATGGCAAAATCTCTTCAGCAAATAATCCGTAAAGAGGCCCGACTTATACATAGAATTTCCGGTATGTTTCCGGTTCTTGTTCTATTTATTTGGTTTCTAACTATCTTCATATTCGATATGGTTCTTCCTATTTCATAACGATTAGTTACAGCGTGCGTTAAATATGCTGAAAAATCAATTTTTGTATGGGATCCAACAATCCTGGATGCAGTTTGTCAACGAGCTTGGCCTTAAAAAAATCATTCCATACGCCCCATACGTCATCAGGGCAATAAGAGAAATGTATTGTGAGAACAGAATAACAGCCAGTCGTAACGAGAAATAGCAAAACAGCAACTCAAACTTAAGCCTTATAAGCTGCAAAAAGTTTAGCTTCTCAAAGGATGACAACAAGGACTTGTTATTTTTCTTCTTTTCTGACGAGTCAAGCAGACACTGCGTCGAAAAATTGCTGCCAAGTGCCGCAAATCTTCACTTTACGGTTTAGGTCTCTTCCCTAGAGAGCGTATACATATAGTTAATCATTTGATGTTGAGATAAAAAAAATACGTGTACGGATTATTTGTGTATGTGGTATTTAAAGTAATTTGGAATTTATCTACCATCCCCTTTTCGGTCTGAACCTATATAGGTTTATAATCTTGCTATCAATGGCGACGTGATATGTTTCTTGTGTGTTTGTGCTTGCCCCGTTTGCACAGTACTATGACAAGATGCTGCATTATCGATGCTATGAAAATGATGATGATAATGAAGATAATGATTACCCTTATGCAAATGCTTAAATGTCAGCTAATTGTGTGCCAACTGGCTCTGTCCGACTGTTGTTCTGGCTACTCCCACAGTGCCTGAGGACAGCGCCTGAGTTAGACGGTCGACCAGCTAGCTATCCATCTAGTTTTTTTCCTTTCGTTTTTTTCTTCTTTTTTTTTTTTTGTTTGTTTGCAATGTTCCCATTTCCATGCCACTCATTTTGGTCTCACATTTCGTGTCTGCGCTTTAATCTGTGCAGTCCACACAACGCTCTGACACCACCCCACCACTATCCACCAGCCAGCATCCACAAGCCTCCAGCCTCCAGCTTAGTTTTCTGTGAAGCTTGGGGAATTCGCGTTGGCAGCAGCATCAGCAGCGGCATTTAGTGGAAAGTTCACTTCAACAAACAACAAGCAGAGAAGCTAAAAATAACAAAAAAGAAAAAATAAAGTAATAATAAAACGGAATACTAACAGCATGGCGAAAATAAAAAATTCTGTCGAATTTAGCCGAAAGTTGCATTCGTTTCTCTCACATACTATATACAGATACGAATATTTAAGTTTTTATACATAAATGTATGTACATCCAAATACACACCGCTGAGAGTTTCTTTTTTGTATTAGCAAGGAACTGGGTTAAACTACATATAGCAAATAGAATGACCAGGCAGCCACCCATCAAACAGCAATCTTCGTCCTTTGCCCATTATCCATTGTGTCGTCTGTCTGCCCATTTTACTGCTCGAATTTGTTAGGTGCCGGAAAATTCGTTGACATCGAGGGAAAAAAGGGCTGCTGAAAACGATTTCCAATCACACACTAATACGTTGCAACATGATCCACATAAGACTCGTACTACATATTTCGTAAATAGAATCAATCGAATTGGTCGCTTAATTCTATGACTTCAGAGGGGAGATTGAGTTTAAACAAATTAAAGTACAGGCAGACATATAAAACGAATGTGTCATGAAATTAATTTTATTTTATGCCCAATGCAATAACAATGCTGTGCAAAACGAAAAATACACAACTATTATTTATATTTACTTTTTGAAAGCTAAGTAGTAAAGAGATTTGACGAGTAATTTAAGTGTTGTGAACTTAAGTTCTTCAAAACAATAAGCTGAATTAATTTTCTGAGTGTCCAGTTAAATGCGTGTGCGACAACTTTTCGCTGCTCCTTTTCTAACACTAAATTCAATTATAATATTGCGGGTTAATCAGCTGGTTTAATGATATTTTCGTCCCAATATACATACATATATCATACTAGCTCTTACCGTTTGGGCTGTGCGTTGATTGCACATAGCTCTTCGTGTCCAGATTTTTCCACGGGAAAATCCCTATAATTCTGGCCCCAGGAAAAATAGCGTAAAAGCAAGTAAAATACAGTTTTTCTTGTATACAAACTAAGTTTGAAGTTAATCGAATGAAAATTGTAGATTTTTCATACAAACGTTGAAGCTTGTTTACCCCACTTTGAGCTCGAATTTTCCAAAATCCCTTCATAGTGCTCTCTTTCACTGTGAGAGGGATCTTGTATATATCTTATTAGTAACACTGAAACACTTTCAAGAAAGACTTGTTTTGGATATGAACACAAACTCTTTCTTTCCATTAAAAAACCGTGGTCTTAAGAACCCAACCCATGAAAGTTGTTGTGAAATAATTGATATGTCATGTTTGAATGGTAAACTTTGGAAGCCAAATACTTATAACTTCTATTCTACATTCATCCTCCTCATCAATTTATTGAAATGTATGCTATATAGAAATAATAACTAAACAATATTCACAAAATAAAAGTAGCAACCCAAATGGGGAAATATATCACATTATCTAGCCGGTAAAAGGTTATTATTTTGTGATGTAGTAGTATTTATCAGTAAGATTCGATGAATCGATGTTTCCAAACTTTTGATAACAGCTAAAAATTCCAATCTTTGTTCTTAGACTAGTTTTCGTTAAACGCAGTTTAAGTTCAAATAACCTTATCAAACCATAATTAAACCATTCCTCAACTTTCTGAGTTGTGCCGAATTTGGTTTTTGCTTTGTTTATGCATAATCTTTGTTGGTTTGGCTTGGAATGTTTATTGGAGCATTGGGATTGCGTTGGAATATGAGATGGTGGAGTGGCTGCATTTCTTGGTTTATTTAGGAGCTATCTTAAAAGGAATTTATGGTCCTACTTGCTTTTGCAGTTCCACCAACTAATTCTAATCCATAGTGCGCTTCTTAATCGCAAACTTCTAAGAATCTCCACATGCCTATGGCTCTCACAACTTGCAGAACATCGACTTTTGAATGCCTTCAATGGCAGAGAAGTTGCCCGAAAGCTGTTTTGTTGACAGTTCGCATTACAATGCCAGGACGCGCGCATAGTGAGCCCAGCGATGGGTGGCTGGAAGGACGAGTCGAGCGGCATGTTCAGACATGAGCAAATAAATAAAATCGCATCATAAAAGCACCAAGTTGTGGCAGCACAGTTAGGACGAAAAGTGAAAAGCAATCGTTGTCGTCGTCTTAGTCGTCCTGTTCATAGTCCTCCTTGGCCCGCACTCTCCATTCTCCTTGTCATGGCTTCTGGCTATAGCGTGTGAATGCTCGACGCAAACTCTGAATCGCCCGCTTTGGGTGGCGAGCAAATCGTCTTAGAAAGCAATGCAGCAGTCTTTATTATTACGACGTTTCTGCTTTTTTTCATTTCTGTCTTCCTTCAGAGCTCCCTCCCTCTCTGGCGCTGTCGCTGTCACTGGCCGTGCCACTATCTCCCTCTCGCTCTTTGCCAAATCAAAAGCACGTGTGTTTGTTATGCCAGCAAGAGGACCTCTCCCCAACAACCGTCTCACGACCGACCCCAATGAATCTCTGTGCGTGTTTGTTGTTGTCTGTGTGTATTTTTGTATGCGAGTGTGTGCGTGTAATTGTGTGTGTGTGTGTGTGTCTGTGTGTGTGTGTGTGTATTCTTGGTATTGTGAACTGTAAGCGGAATCTAATTGAGGTCAAGACATGTTTATTGATTTTCTTAAAAGGACTTCCTAATTAGAAACACTTTACTAAATGTGCGAACCCAATCCAAAAAATATATATACATATATAAAGTAATATGCAACAACAGATGCCATGCAAAATATAAACATGAAGTCAAGAAAACCCTGAAACAAATGTGTATTCACAAAAAAAACAGTTTGTCAAAAGCAAATTTGCACGTGACTAAAAAATATTTATTCTTTATCTTTCCATCTCCAAATCACACTTGTGTTCGATTGGAAATCAAAAATATTTTAATACGGAATATGACTATAACGGCATAGATTTCAAAATTATTTACTAACTACTTATTATGTCAAAAAACATATCGGCATAGGTTTAAATTTTCTGTTCATTGCAATTTCGACATTAAAGTTAAGGCTTACAAAAATAGGAAAATGGCTTACGAGGAGATTTTTTTGCCCTCCAGTCGCACAACAAATTTTTGAGAATTGTACGCCGTTCTCTAAACATAAATTTGTTATCCCCAAAACATTAAACATGTAAACATTATGCATGAAAATTGTATAGTAACAAGATTTACTAGACTTCGTTTTTTTTATACAAATATATGTAAGTCAGAAATTTATTGAATTGCAGTTTTATTTTCGTCACTAAATATACTGGTGGACTTGAAAATAATTTAAAATGTGTATTGCATTACATTTTAGAAGTAGCTT